GTGTGTGTACCGTACCTTGTGTACTATGAAATTGGTGGTCTCGTTGGTGGGGGACGACGGTCCCGGAGGTAAAAGGTTGGACTAAGAAGTACAGGGGTCCTGGAGGTAATGGTTGGAAAGAAGATACAAGGTTGGGGGTAGCCATAAGGTTGGAATAGGGCATAAGGCAGGCATACCAACTCATGATGGGTGATGTCGCGAGGGCTATTGTAGCCAGTGTTGTGTGATCTTGTCTTGTGACGTGTGTAGTCACAAGGGCAGGCGTGTCCTTGGCATGTGTTGCCGGTTGTGTGTGTCTTGTTCTTTCGCGTTGTACTTGTCGGGTTGCGGTCTATTGAGTGATGATAGATCGTGCCTTGACTCTTTTGTGAGTCGTGTTATGCTTGTGGTCAAGGGATGTGTTCCCGTGTTACTTGTGAGAGTGTTGAGTCTTGTGTTGACTACTTCTCTCGGTTTTGAACTTATATATATACGTATTCCGTTTCGAAAATGATTTTTGTATATATACCATATCTATGTATGATACTTAACGGTATTGGTGGGTTAACAGCATTATTCGCTGACCGGGCGTCGTCCCATGTTTATCTTTGTGTTTCTACAGGTTTTGTCTAGTCGAGCGCGATGTCTAGTGCCGATAGAGTAGTACCCTTTCCTTGTTGTACGGCCTGTGAGCCGGTTTGGTTGTTTTTAGACTTATGTACTTTTGGATAGATGTTACCATGCAGATTTTGGCCGTAGCACTTGACGTGTTGTTAAGCGTAGCATAACACCCCCGTTGGATTCTTTATTATCCAGTTATCTTTTCTTCCGCTGTGCTAGAGTTTTGTTTTGATATCTGCATGCGTTAAGGCTTTTCTATAGCTTGTTTTAGGGGGGGTGTTACAGGCGACGCCATGCATGCTACAGATAAAGCACCTTCCGTCGCTACCTCTCAGTGTTCCTGCTGCAAAAATCCGGCCGAGATCCGCCGTAAGGAAGCAAGAAAGATGTATGAAAATCCTAGGAAAAATCCTAGTAGTGGAGAAAAAACCCTAGAATCCTAGAGAGATAATTTTTTAGGTAATAATGAATCTATCTATACTATATATAAAAACAAAATCCTAAAATTTTAACTTCCCGCCCAATTCCTAAAAAATCTCTCTTCCTAATAAAATATATTGATTTCTACAATAATTCTTGGTTAAAATTCTATTCTAATATTATAAAATTGTGTAATACTATTCCTATTCTAATCTATATCTATACTATATATCAATGTTGCAAAAATCGCGTCGCTGGCCGCGGCAAGGAAGGCCGGAATCAGCCTCCTCCGCGGCCTCCTCGCCAGCTGAACCGTCGACTAATTTTTTTATTTTTATTTTTTTGAAGTTGTAAAGTGTCAAAAGTGTCCTGAAATTTTAACTTCCCTCCCAATTCCTAAAAAATCTCTCTTCCTAATAAAATATATTGATTTCTACAATAATTTTTTGTTAAAATTCTATTTTAATATTATAAAATTGTGTAATACTATTCCTATTCTAATCTATATCTGTACTATATATCAGTGTTGCAAAAATCGCGCCGCTAGCCGCGGCACGGAAGGCCGGAATCAGCTTCCTCCGCGGCCGCCTCGCCGGTTGAACCGGCGATTAATTTTTTATTTTTATTTTGAAGTTGTAAAGTGTCAAAAGTTCGGCAAGGCATAACTTTTGACTCGGTTGTCCATTTTGGACAAATGTTCTTTTTGAAATCGCGTATTTTTCGAGATCTATCCACCGCTAAATGCCGTAGGCGGTTTGATCCACCAATTTCTAAAAAAATGCTTTATTAAATAGTTTCTAAGAAATAACTATGAGAACCTTATGTTTTATTAATGAATTTTTAAAATTTTTAATTAAAAAATTGTCCCGTGCATTATTTAATAATCTCTCTTTATAATTGGTCAAATTATTTAATTATGGTAAATTAGGGATTAATTAATGATGGTAATAGAAACCCTAGAAGAATATATAGAATTGAAGAATATTTAATTATTTTTATATTATTATTGTGACTCACGGAAGACAATACAAGAATATTTAATTATGATTATATTATTATTGTGCCTCACTGCCATTATATACAAACAGAACTTGAAAAGAAACTAATAATAATAATAATATAATAATAATAATAATAATAATATCTAAAAGTAATTAAGTGTTAATAATAATTGTAAGAATATTAACGTAAAAATTATAACATAGAATAAATCGTATTAATTAATAACTATAGTCTAGGATTAAATTTGAAATTGTCAAGAAAGATAAACGACCTCTGGTGAAATTAACTCTTAAAATAATTATATATTGATTTAAATATTTTTAATATATTACAACAATTCCATTTCGTGTATCGCACGGGTGAAAATACTAGTACATATAAAAGGTAGTAACCATATCAGTTACAACTGCTACCATATAATGGAAAAGCAATTATAAGGAAGATTAATTTCATTATTTGGTTAATTGGTTGATGGAAAAGAAATTACTAGAAATATTGATTCCATTGTTTGGTTGAATTTGAAATTATAAGAAATGATGAGTATAAATACCTATATGCCCATATATAATAATGATAAGGGAAAATTGTAAGTTATGCCCCTCCATAATATGCCAATTATCAATGTCACATCTGAATTATTAGTTGTGTAAATATTGCCCCTCAATTTTAAAACGGTACACATATTGCCCCCCGTAGTGTAAATATTGCCCTTCAATTTTCAAAACGGTACATATACTGCCCCTCCCGTACTGTACGAGAAAGGCAATATAATATATGTACCATTTTGAAAATTGGGGGGCAACATTTACACCACTAATAATTCAGCGGTTACATTGATAATTGACATATTATGAAGGGGCATAAATTACAATTTTCCCTAATGATAATAATAAACATATATATGAATGAATCACAAGGGCAAAATAATAATATTAGCTCACTTTTTGTTCCCAAGTTCCATGGAAAATAAAATACCACCCCTCTCTTTGAATGAATTACATGGGCAAAATAGTCATAAGTAAGGTGGAAAATCCATTTTTCTCCAATAAGTAAGGTGGAAAAATCCATTTTTCTCAAATAAGTAAACGGACAAAAATCTCATTTTTCTCAAATTTAGGGAAAACATTTTTCCTTACAACAAATTTTTTTCACCCAACCAAACACCTCCTATTTTGTTTTCCATGGAAAGCTAGTATGACAATTTTGTCCTCAGCTCATTGATTTTTTTAATTACCCTTATTTTTATTATTGTGGAGGGATATATTGGTCTTTATACTCATTATTCTTTACAATTCCAAATCCAACCAAACAGTGGAATCAATATACTTAGTAATTCAAAAAATATATATATACTTAGTAATTTCTTTTCTACCAACCAAACAATGTATTTAGTTTTCCCAATAATTTATATTTTATGAAATCTCAATTCCATTCATCCTTAAGGCATCCTTAATAGTTGGGTTTATTGAAGAGTTCTTGCCGGTGTGACTAGGAAAGAGAAGATGAAGGCAGGGGGAGGGGAAGAAAAGAAACAAACAAAACAAAATCAAAATAAAAAATAAATACAGATTTACGCGCCCAGGCAGACGTGTGTAGTGCACACTCCCGTTTGGGCGCGAGAGTTCTGCCTCAAGCGTTGTGAGGCGCATATCTTTTCCTCACAGTGGGGCCCACTTCTTGCCAAAACCCCCATATTTGCAGGAGAACCTCATGTCTTCTCTGTCTTCACACTCTCTCCTCCACATGGGTACCCAAACCTGCAAAAACCATTGAAAAACTACTATTAAGGATAGCCTTAAGGCATCAACAGTAGTGGGGGTTCTTGATGATTTTTTGCAGGTGTAACTAGGAAAGAAAAGAAGGATGGTGAGGAAAAAAGAAAAGAAAAAAAAATCAAAATCTATATATACAAAAAAAAAACAAAATAAATAAATAAATACATATTTACATGCCCAGGCGAGCGCGAGAGTTGCGCCTCACGCATTGTGAGGCGCACCTCTTCTCCTCATAGTGGGGCCACTTCACTACCAAAAACAAGAGAACCCCATGTCTTCTCTCTTCAATCTCTCTCTCTTCCACATGGCACCCAAACCTGCAAAAAATCATTGAAAAATTACTCTAGTCATGACCACGGTTTAGTTCGAATCGAACTGTGCACGGTTAAAATAGGAAGAGTTCTAGTACATGTACTGCTTAAATTTTATTTCCTGTTATGGTGAATTCTGATAAGTTATTTTTTCATGTGGATCCTAATACAATTGTCTATATCAATATTTTTTGTATGGAAGTACAAATTGAGAGTACAAAATGAGAATACATGTAGCATTTTCCAAATCGGAATCATATGATCGACCGGTCATGGAAAAATTGGAACCGTGAAATAAAAAAAAAAAAAAAAATCAAACTGCCAAAGCCGTGAAACACGGCTTTGGCAGTTTGACTGTTATAAAATGGCCACTAGGCCAATTGGCCTAGCGCAAAGGCCAGGCCAGACTTTGCAGGCGTGCATGCAATTTTTAAAATGGCAGGCTTTTGAATTATTGCACCAGTAAGGGCATCTTCAATAGTGAGGATTTTGGTGTTGATTTTGATGAGTTTTTGTAGGTATGATTAGGATAGAGAAAATAGGTGAAGGGGGTTAAAAAAATAAAATTTAATCGTGGGACCCACACTTTCTTCCATCCAAGCCTTGCTCCTTTCTTATTTTCTTCATAGGACCCACACAAATGACATAAAGCTGATAAAATTTTTCCTCCTTACAGGAGAAAAATACCCACAAAATTTACTCCTTCCATTTGTCCAAAACTTAGCAAAGGGAATTTTACTATTCCAAAAGTCATGAATGAACCCCTATTGGGGATGCCTGGAAACTTTACAGCTGGAAAGCTAAAGCTTATAAAAAGCTATCGGCAAGGAATCATTGCACTAATCAGATCAATGGCATTACCAAATTTCACTCGTCTTTCTTCTACTAATCTTCACACCTACACCAACAGAGATAGAGATAAAGATAGAGATTGAGAGAAAAAAGAATAACTTGTTCAGCGCTAAGATCCAACAATTTATTATTCCGTAATAAATATTATGATTTCTATCATAAGTAATAAGTTACTCCCTCTGTCCCATTTTGCATGTCTTACTTTCCTTTTTAGTTTGTCCCAAAATGTTGTCCTCTTTCTAAAATTGAACATCACCATCATTCTACTTTTTCTCAAATTACCCTTATGACTTTTGCTTTTATTTCCAAAAGTGAAAAAGTGAAGGGCATAATTGGAAAATACATAATATTTACTTTAATTCCTTAAAAAGCGTGCAAAAAGCAAATGAGACAATCAATTCGGGACGGAAGAAGTATTATTTTAAATTCAACTCGCTTCACAGATCTTCACTCAATTAATGAGCACTCAATGATTATAAAGAACATCATGGAAAAAATATTAGTGGAAAATTTGCAAGGAAAATATGCCAAGGGGTCAGGTTGACATAACACATGAATTGTTTGGGCTACTATATATTATAATGAGCTAGGCTAGCTGAAACTTACCATTTTATAATTCAAATGTTTAATTAATAAGCGAGTTCTACTACATATAGACCCCTAAATTTTACTCTCTCATTTATACTCTCTGAGGTGGCAAATTAGGATTGATTATTTTCATTATGTGGTCCACATAAAAATGTCTACATCAAGAGTATGTGAGAGGGAGTACAAGTTGAGAGTTTAAAATGAGAGTACACCAAGTATTTGGCCAAGCAAACAAAAAGATAAATATAGACTGGGTCATGCCTACCTACTTTTGGCCATGACATTTTTCGAGGAGTCACAAATAAAAAGTGTATTATTTGTGTATATAAATTACATTATTTGAAAATATATTATTTAAGTACTGAAGGTTTATTATTTTGTATACTATCAAATAATGTACATTCAGTATATAAATAATGTACTTTTAGTATTTTAAAAATGTATATTTATTCAAGAAAATATTTTTTATTGGAAAAAGTTTTCATCAAGAATGAACAGGGAAAAAGTTTTTCTTAGGTCACACTTGGGGCTTGTTTGGTTCGCGAAAATAATTGAGAGGAAATGGAATTGAAATTTCATGGAAAAAAAATTACTAGAAAAATTGATTCCATTATTTGGTTGATGGAAAAGAAATTACTGAAATATTGATTCCATTGTTTGGTTGAATTTGAATTGTAAAAAAATAATGAGTATAAAGACGTATATGTCCATACACAATAATAATGATACTCTGTAATAAAACTAAGAACGAATCACAAGAGCAAAATAGTAATATTAGCTCACTTTTTGTTCTCAAGTTCCATGGAAAAAAAAATAAATAAATAAATACCACTCTTCCCATTTGAATGAATCACGAAGGGAAAATAGCCATAAGTCATAAATCACAAATTCAGATCAATCGAAATTTAGTCACCAATCAATCAAATACCGAAACACTCAATGATCTTTAGCTATTTAAAATAAAATAAAATAAGCAGCAGGCCATGCCTACTTTTGAATTATTGCATCAATAGTGGAAACTTTAGAGCCGGAAAGCTAAAGGTTAAAAAAAGCTGTCGGCAAGGAGTTATTGCACTGATCAGATCAGTGGCATAACCAATTCCACTCATCTTGCTTCTGCTAATCTTCACACCTACACCAACAGAGAGAGAGAGAAAAGAATGGCTTGTGTAGCTGTAAATTCTCTTATCACAACATTAGAGCTTGAGTTCTTGCAACCTCACCCTCGTCCAATCCTACAACAAATGGAACTCATCCCTTTTAACAAAGACCTCATCCAATCTCTCCATGCAAAGCTTGGTTTTCTCATACAACTGTTCGACGAGAGCAGAACGGATGGTGTTGAAGCAATTAACCACTTGGAAACAAAGCTTAGAGATGTAGCTTCCAGAGTTGAAGATGAAATTGAGCTCCATGTGGTACATCTCTATGAAGAATTGGAAGCTTTCACACTAGATCTCTATTTGGTAGATCCCTTTACAGAAGGGGACACTGATGAAGCAAAAAAAACCCAGCATTCTCATAGACTTAGTCATGTTTTGCAACAAGCAATAGAAGACATTGATGCCATTAAAGAAGATCTGGAGAAAGTCATGATGGAGTACAAGCATGACATAGCTGCGCAAGGAAGGAAGATTACACTTGATCTTATTCCAAAATCTGATGATGAACTTGTTAAGATGGACGGTTCCGGTTCTTCCAATCATGCTTCATACACTGAGGACATAATGGTCGGGAAAAACAATGAGTTCGAGATTATAAGGAAGATGCTAATACAACATCCATCTAAACAACGAGAAGTTGTCTCAATTCAAGGTATGGGAGGAATCGGCAAGACAACGTTAGCTAGACGAGTTTATGAAAATCCATCAATTGTCTCCCACTTTGATAGACGACTATGGGTTGTTGTATCACAACATCACAATAAGAGGCAAATGCTCTTAGGTCTTCTTGGTTCTAAAGACAATGTAAACCATAGCAGTGATGGGGACCTAGCATTACAGCTCTACCAAAGTTTGAAGGGTCAAAGGTATTTGGTAGTGATGGATGATGTATGGAGCAGAGAGTCATGGAATGGTGTCAACTCTTGCTTTCCAGATGATATAAATGGGAGTCGAGTATTGTTGACTACTCGCGTTGCAGAGGTGGCTACTTGTATTGGCTCTAACAAGTACTTCTCCCATCAAATGCACTTATTGGATCAAAGTGAAAGTTGGAAATTATTTCATAAAAAGACATGCAAATGTCATGGTGTTGAATTTGAGACAATTGGGAGACCAATTGTTGAGAAATGTAAAGGATTGCCTTTGGCAATTCTTGTGGTAGCAGGTGTATTTTCAAAACTCAATACAATAGATGAGTGGAAGAAAACTGCTAATGCTCTAATAAGTTCTACTTCAACATCAACTCTAGATGATGAAGAATGTTGGAGAATCCTCTCATTGAGTTATAATCACTTGCCCAATAATTTGAAAGCTTGTTTTTTATATTTAGGAGTTTTTCCAGAAGATTATAAGATCAATGCTAACAACCTTGCAAGGTTATGGGCTGGCGAAGGACTTGTAAAGGCATTCAAGAATGAAAGTTTTGAAGTGGTGGCTAAAAGGTACATAAATGAACTTATGGATAGAAACTTAATTCTTGTTAGCAAAAGAAGTTCATGTGGAAGAAAAATTAAGGAGTTTAGTGTACATGATTTATTGCATGCCTTTTGTGTAAGAGAAGGTCAGAACCAGAGTCTTTTGAATGTTTTCCATGAAAGTCATTCCAATTTCCCTCAGAAAGGTGCCCGTTGGCTAAGAATCCAAAGGGTGTCATTTGAAGCTATTGGCATGTCTGCGTTACATTCTCTGTCAAAACACTGCCGGTCCATCTTCTATTTTCCGGAGAGGAACAAACATTATTCAATAAATTTGGAATTTTTCAACCTATTGAGGGTACTATATGTTACTGATTTATTCCATTTGCCAAGTCCGACTGTTCATATCCATTTGAGATACCTACGGATATCCTGGGCACTTGATCCTTATGATTCATTATTCTTCAAAGCATGGAATCTTCAAACATATAGTGTGTATGGAAATATAAAATTGCACGATTTGGAGTTTCCACAACTACAGTATATTCACTGTGAACAAATTATTGATAGATCTTTTCCCAAATCTGTTCATCAAAACTTGCAGGTCATTTCTAGTTTGCACGCTAGTCAATGCGGTCAAGAGTCCTTAACAAAAGTTCCATACCTAAAGAAGGTATCTATTATTATACTCAGACCCAATGATCGCATTAAGAACCTTGTCTGTTTACAGCAGCTCGAGAGTTTGTCTCTTTATGTTTATACATTGTCCTGTGAAATTCCGGAGATGACGGCTCAAATCATTAACAATATTCCTCTCTTGAAAAACATTAGGAAGCTGAGGTTTGATAGGTTGACATCTGAGTGGAAGGTAATTAATGTATTGAGCAAGTTACCAAGGCTTGAAGTGCTCAAGTTAATGGATGTTAACCTTGGCAAAGAGTGGAAACTACCAAAGAATGTGATATTCTGCCATTTAATTTGTTTGAAAATTTGGTATGCTAAACTCAAACTCAAGCATTGGGAAGCTGGTGCTGATAATTTTCCAAAACTTGAGCGCCTATTCCTTAAAGAATGCTCTGAATTGAGAGAGATCCCAAATAGCTTTGCAGAAATTCCAACATTGAACTTAATCCAATTAGAGGAGTGTCATCCTTCTGCAGTGATGTCGGCAAAGCAAATTGAGGCTGAACAGCATGACTATGGAAACGAGAATATGGTTGTCATTGAGAAAAACACAGAACAGGTCCCTCCATCAATCTCCATTTCTTTTTTCTCAATTGCTTTATATTTCACTCTCCTTTAATTTCTCTTCCAACTTCCTTTAGTTTCATCACATCCTAATTTGTTTTCATTGATTCATGACATCCTCGCTCTCTAGCTAGCTTGAAGATACTCCTATGAAGGCGAGATTGATGAAGATGAGGAGTAGATGATGCAAAGCTATAACAAAGAAAGACTCTAAAGCTGCTAATTAATTGCAATACGTACTGATGATCTGTCCACATAGAGCCAATAAAAGAAGGGTGTGGGAAGAACAGATGGTTGTTGTGGCTGTTTTTGCAATTTTGGTCTTTGAAATGGTTTCTGGTTCACAGGTTCTTCAGCTGCAAATTTGAAATGGTTTCTGGTTTGCCCGGTTCAAAACGACACCGGTTTGATGTTTTAAAAAAATTCCTTGCTTCGGGCAGGTAATATAATTTATTTTATGAGTTAGAATAATGTACTTTATGAGTTAGAATAATGTACTTTATGAGTTAAAATAATGTATAATGTACTTTATGTGTGAGAATAATGAAATTTATGGGGTAAGATAATGTATTTTATGAGTTAGCACTACAAGAAAAATGCACATAGACAACGGTTTTTCACCATTGTCGTAGGGGTAAAATTTCCGTTGTTGAAGCCAGTGTTGTTGTAAGTCCTGCGCATAGACAACGGGTTTTAACCGTTGTCTTTCTAGAAACAACAACGGTTTTTTGAACTGTTGTCTATTAAGTGTTGTTGAAACCGGTGTTGTTAAAAGTCACGCACATAGACAACGGTTTTTAACCATTGTCTTTTCTAGAAAAGACAACGGCACCGTTGTCTATTGAGTGTTGTTGAAACCGGTGTTGTTAAAAGTCACACACATAGACAACAGTTTTTAATCGTTGTCTTTTCTAGAAAAGACAACGGTTTTTGAACTGTTGTCTATTGTGTGTTGTTGAAACCAGTGTTGTTGAAAGTCACGCACATAGACAACAGTTTTTAGTCGTTGTCTTTTACAGTTTGTATATTGAGTGTTGTTGAAACCTGTATATTAAAGACACCGGTTCAAAACCATTGTTCTCACATTCATAGACAACGGTTTTAAATCGTTGTTTTAACCTATTTTGATTTTAAGCATAATATAATAAAAAAAAATGTATCCAAACACCATGAATACAAAACCATCAATTCATTAGTACAATCATATTCTACATGTAAAGTATTTCAAAATCACACGAATTCATCATCTACTTCAAAATACAATGAACAATTCTAATCACCAAGTCTAAATATTGTTTACAAAGTTCTAATCAAATGCATTCCTACTCTATATAATTGGATTACTCTCAGCATACCTCCAATCAAGTAGAGTAAAAAGCAAATGATAATTATATATCCACACATACTACAATATGATATTACTTAAGTGAACTGATAAACTAGGTACAAGTGATAATACTTATATTTTCTAATGAGGTTGCCATCAGTACTTCAAAACAGTAATGAGAGTGTTGGAAATTTATATAGTAATGGAGATTAATGTTTCAGATGAACTACCATGAAAGCTTAAATAATATTTGGAGTTGTGGAGTTGTAAATATTATTTTAGTTTGGTATAAAGTTAATTAAAATACTGGGAGAAATTTATATATAGCTAATATGCTTGAGAGTATATAGCTTGTGATATATAGCTATATGCTTGAAATATATAGCTAATATGGTTGAGAGTATTAATGCATGTTTGGATATTTTCCTGCGTAAGATTTTGGGGCATTTTGAAGCTATATGCTTCAAAACTACACTTAACGTGCTTGAAATATGTTCTTCTATTTTTTGAAGCTATATGCTTCAAAGTTACACTTAACATGCTTGGTATATGTAGCTGTATGCTTGAGATTATTGAACTACATATATGGATATTATTTATAGTTATTCTTTACATGTTTTCATGCGTAAGGAATATATATATATATATATATATATATAATTTTGCATAAAACTGACTCAAAATAAATTTAATTATTTCTCCTGGATATATCATTCACGATATAACTTATCTTAGGGAAGTTGAGTTTTAAATCATAGCAACTTCCATGTAACTTCTCCAAACAGATATATTTTTCATCTATAAATATTTTGGAGAAACATCTGAAAGAGACGGCCATTTTACATGCAATCAATTTGCAGGAAATCAAGATACTTCACAGTCCTACAGTTCTACAGGAAATTTTCAAACAAAGCAACTTGAGAATTTCATTCATCTTCTTGTATCCCATAAGATTAAATCTTGAAACTTGTTGCTTGTATAGAGAGAGATTTAAAGCTTATAGGAAAGTGATTACACGCCTGAAGATATCAAATGATCCAACTTTTGTTCCCTATTGTATTCTGTATTATTGTTGTATCTCAAATGTATTAAAGTATACAAACACTTTTTCCAACAAAGAGAATGAGAATGCTTACAGTTGTATGGAACAACTATGTAGGGGAAATCCAGGGAAAGTGCAGCAATGTACGTGGCAAGTTCTTAGAATGGAAAAAACCATTATCATTATCATCCTTCTCGAAGCCTCTGCAGAATCAGCACCTTTTAAGTAAAACCAAAATAAGTTAAATATGATAGATAATGCAAGTTTTAAGTAAAAAATCCATTCCTAAAATGGACGAAATAGAAATGAAAACTAATAAAGAAAAGCGTAAAATGTTTTAGTGGAAATGAAATACACACTTCAACCTAGTATAGGAAACTGCAAGTTATGCACTCTTTTAAAGAGAATATCAATTTAATTAAATCAAAGAGCTTCCTTTTCTAAAAGAACTTAACATGCTCAAAAATACCATAAGAAAAGAACAAATAAATACCTAGGTAAGGTCAGTCAGATTCTTAAAAAAGAATATGCTATTATTTAGAGTAAAAGACATTTTTTATCCTAGACTTATAGTGTCACGGACAGTTTTGGTCCTCTATAAAAAAAATCAGACAATTTGTGGACACGAGGACAATTTTAGTCCTCCGTCACTCTTCCCTTTAAATGCTCTGTTTGAGAGGGGATATTTGCATCTTTTCATCATACCTCCTTCCAAGACCATCCCCACTCTTTTCTCAAGCTCTGAAACTAGAGCTGGTGATGCAGAATGAAGAATGACCAATTTCAACATCCTCAGAAGGAACTTGCAAACAAAGATGTTGAGAGGAATCCTGAAGAAGTTCATTAATCATTATGGATGGCCAGAAGATCCCCACACAAGCCTCAAATGTACAGAAGCCAAGAAGCAATATACAGCCAGCAAATGTAATGCCTCCTCCTTTCACATTTGAAGGAGCTATGAAGAACTGTTTCAAATATAATAGTTAGGGGATATAAATAGGAGGAAACACACAACTACATTGTCTCAAAACTTACCCTCGTCACAATTGGTAGCAGGAGAGCTGCAGAGGAGATAACAAATACAACTTGCATGTAGCTCTCAACCTTAAGTGAGTTACGGGTCATAAGGCGAGATGCAAATGAGCTTCCCAATATTGACGCCAACATAAAAGTTGCAAAGATAAAACCATGAGGAATATCTTCATCAACCAGTAACCAGCAAATAAGCTTGCATAGTAGTATAGCACTATAATTCATATCAAATTCTGGTTGCAGTTTCAAATTGACAGAATAGATAATAATAGAAGTTATTAGTATCATAAACCTATTTAAATGCTACAATGAAAGAAGGTAAATTAAAAGGGCAGGCATAATAAGCTTGCATATAGCAGAATACTTCATATTGAATTCTGGTTCCAGTTTCAAGAATTTCTAAGATTTCAGTCTTATGAAGTAACCTAAATGCATTCAAGATGTTAAATAAAATTAAAAAAAAAAAAACATAAAACTGTGAACTACACAATGATAAAGGAGCCATTAAGAAATTTGCCAATTACATGACTTAATGCAAACCTTTAAAAAAATCTACTTCAAATTAAAGTAGTTATGCTATTGTAACTAGAAATCAAATGCGGTTTACATAAGACACATTAGAATCAGTTCATAATACAATTAATGAATTAATGTATAAATATATAGCTTCAAAGCAAGTTATTTTCATTTCAGGGGCTAAATTATATCCAAAGACCCTTACCTTAAAATGCCCTGCGACCAACCAAGACTCAAATGATGAGAAGAGGAGATGTAACACCCCTAAATTTCAAGATATTTAAAACCTATAAAATAAAGGTTAATTTCTTATTAATTTCCAAACAGAGCATAAACTAGATATAGTAGTCGGGGTGCTATGCCACATCTGAGCTGGAGAACTCAGATGCACATGCTAAACTAACTAAGAAAGCATAAACCATAACTAATACCCAAATACAAATCAAGGCACGCAGGCCATCTCATCCAGGCTAGCTATCTAAACTAAGTCCACGAATCCACTAGCGCGCTCCGAAGCTACTCACTGTCCCTGAAAAACATTCTGTGTAACTCACTGTCCCTGAAAAACATTCTGTGTAACTCATTCCAACGCGTTAAGTACAATATAGGTAGATATAAGAAACTCATTTTGAAACTGGAATACATATATACTTATTACGAGACTCTAGTTTAAATCCAAGATCAAGACTCAAGGCATATTAACAGACTCGATATCATAGAATAATCATACAAACTAATAGGCATCCTAAGTATGCAATTCAAGACATGACAGACAGATATGCATGCAAATAACAAAGTAGAGGCAACGAAGGCAATCATTACAATCAATTAGCAAGTAGTCAACAAAGCACACAAATCATCCTCCAACCTTATACCAGATTCCAACCTTGTAGCTCCCCTTCGTCCTTATATTAGCTCCCCTCCGCCCTCGTACCTCTAGGCCACCCTTATATCCCCACCCCTTATGCCTCCGGGCAACTACATGCCCCCACCGACAAATCACCTTTCAACCACCAACATATCAAGATGGTGCCGCAGTACACGTCATTCAATGATCCGCACCTCTAGTGCCAATATCAAGGGGTTAGCGCATATAGCTCTAACATGACACTGCAACACTTATAACTTGACCCATGCTCAACGTCAAGCTAGTCGAAGGTGGGTGTGTGCCTTTAGCACAGTCACTGCTATGACCTGTACCTTTAGTACAATGACCGGGCACAGTTTATTTTCCACCAATCACAATCTCATCAACATCATCATCATCATCAGTCACACTGGCCATTGCGCAATGACCACGATACTCATCATCATCTAACCAATCAACACATAATCACATAACAAGCAAGACACAACAACAATGACACGTATCACACATAAAATCCTAGAACGATGCCTAAAACACCAGACGAGACTCACACACGACAACTGGGGTACAATGAGACACAACAGGACACGAGGAAACATCAAAAGGGGAAAAACACCACAAACCACGCCGGGATTCCAGCGGGTGGAGGATCACCGGCCAGCCACCCGCCGCCGGCCGTGTACTATTCCAGCGGGTGGCCGGCGGGCAGACCACCGCCCGTCGGCTGCCCACTGGAACAGTGTTGCGGGCAACGGGTAGGTGGCGGGTAGTCAGTCCCCCCACCTACCCCCCACTGATACGCAGACAACTTTTGGTTCCGGGATCTCTCGTGGAACCCGAAACCATGTCCAAACACATAACGACAACACCACGTATTCAAGTAACGAAATTAAACCAAGAATCACACCAGATATACCCTAACACGATTCCTAAACATGCCAAGACTTAACATAAATCACATAACGATCCAGGGACATCTGGAATCACAAGAACATCAAGAAATCTATATGTAAAGTCCTAAACACAAGTCCTAGGCTAGACTCAACACCCGATCATGCAAAATCCCCCCAAATATACCAAGAATATCGTAATACGAAATCCATGTTATAACCCTAGGGCTCTAGACATAATCAAAATACAAGATCGTTCATATAATTAATCATAGTATCAAGAACATCAAGATTATCACATAAACATCAAGATTATCACATAAACACCAAGAAATCTGAATAGTAAAGGCTTACTTTCTTTATTCCTAATAGATATATAGGTCTAGAATTCCTAATTAGAATCTGACTAGTAAAAGGTTTACTCTCTTTATTCCTAATAGGCTTAAGACTCTAGTGTAGGCAAGGGTCAACGATCCGTGGTAGACCATTTTAGTTAATTAAAGGGAATCCTAACCAAATTAAATCCTTTTTAATTATTATTAACGGAATTAATTAAATAATTAACCCGGGATTGAAGGTCGTAATACGGGATGTTACTGGAGAGATATGGCAATACCACATTACCACCCAAGATACGCCCTAACATCAACACTTTGTATTCAGGGGAATGCTTGGTGATGCAGCTGAGGATGTAAGTAATACAGTAAGTCACACACGCTCTCTTTCGACCCCTGAAAGTATGGAACAAGCATGTAATCAGGAAATATATATATATATATATATATATATATATATATATATATATATATATATATATATAAGGTCTAGTATTTATGCTTTTGATTGTTAAAATTTGCATAGTAAAATTAATGATACTTATGAAGTATTCCCATGTAGTTCCGTCATTGTGAGAATCATATATCAGATTCTGGTTATCGTCATATACAACAGTAATGTAGAAGTTATTTATTTACAAGGGCAATGTACATTTCCTACGCTTGAACATGGATTACTAACACCTTGTTCTGATTGCAACGGAATGAAAAGAGTGAAAACAAGAACATAGTAGGAGTAGTTCATTGATTTATCACACCACAACCAACAATCACTCAACTGTTATTCCACTTATCTCTAGACTATCTAACTTCTTGGGTCTCCTATAATTCTTCAACAGAAGAGAACTGCAAACAACACTCACTGAAGAGCCAGCCATTGCTGCTCCGGCAATCCAATGAGGGAGTCAGAAACGGGTGGATGGGAAGAGTGCCCCAGCAGCAATGGGAATTCCAAGCGAATTGTAACCCAAAACCCAAAAGTAGTTCAATCAGATGCGGGAGAACGTCTTCCTAGAAAGATGTATAGCAGTAATTACATCTTCCAGGTTGTTTTTCATGATCACAATGTCAGCTACCTCTATGGCTATATCAGTCCCCGCGCCAATTGCCATTCCAACATCAGCTGCTATAAGGGCCGGAGAGTCTTTGATTCCATCTCCAACAATTGCTACTACTTTTCCTTAAGCCTATCATCAAACACAGACAGATTAATACAATTGCAATATCTAGGAATTTGGTGATTAACCCAACAAGGATAGTCTTGGGCAAAGACCGATCAAGGGCCAAGTCTAGCCTCCGGTAGCTAGGGGGATTGTTGGGCGGAGGCTGAAGGGCCAAGTCCAACACCGCCACTAAAAAATGTGTGCTTGTAAAAAGAAATATAATTGCGCCTTCGCTAAGAGTTATAACTTTTAGCGGTAAGCACTTGATCCTAACAGGTGGTATCAGAGCTAGGTTGGGAGGGGGAATTGTTGGATAGAGGCCGATCAAGGGCCAAGTTTAGCACCCAGTGGTTAGGGGGATTGTTAGTGGAGGCCTGAAGGGCCAAGTTGGCCAAAGTCCAGCAGTTTGCCTTTCGAAAATGGCCTTCACTACGAGCTATAGCTTTTGGCGTAGTGAGTTGCGCCTTAGCTACGAGCTATTATTTTTGGCTTAGTGCTAAGCGCTTGATCCTAACAGATAGCTCAATTGCAAATTACAACAATTAAGTTCAATAATATATTTCAGGTTTATTATTCTAAAGGGAAATCAATTTATTATTTGCAGCTCCTTCACTTTATTGGCTTTATCTTCAGGTTTGGCTTCTGAAATAACATCATAGTTAATTCCAATTTCCTTAGCAATGGCATTGGCTGTTCCTCAGTTGTCGCCCGTTACTAGGATACTCTGCACATTCATAGATTTGAGAATGGAAATGACTTGGGGCACTTCAGGCTTCAAAGGATCTGATATTGCAAGAACTCCAACAAGCTCCCTATCAATGAAGTTGTTTGTTGCCCGAGATGAGTTGGTTAGTAGGTTATTAGTTTAGATATATTTTTTAGTTATTATGTTATATATAAAGATATAAATTTGGTTCGGATATCAAATGTAAAAATCTTACATATATTAGATTTAAAAGTAAAAAAAAAATTAAATTTATTCCATTTAAACCAAACATATGTAAAAACACTTTAAATCTAAGATCTAAAAATCACTCAAATTAAAATTAAACTTGCGTTAATTTTATAACATTAATCTTTAAAAAAAAAAATTTGAAAAAAGATGTGTTAGTAAACAAGTTTCTAAACAGAAAACAGATAATGGAAAACTGGAGTGAAAACTGAAAACTTAAAAAATAGAAAACAGAGAACAATTTTCTGTTACTAAACGGGCCTGAGCTTCTCAATTCAGAACTATAACATCATTCCAAATTCTTTTATTATCATTATTATTGTGTATAATCATATAAGTCTTTATACTCATTATTATTATTATTATTATTATTATTATTATTATTATTATTATTATTATTATTATTATTATTATTATTATTATTATTATTTCAAATCTAACCAAAT